TTTGGAGGCAATAATGACAAAGCTTTGTCTCACATACTTTGAAAATGCTGCTAGGAGAGACTATTTCCTGGAGAGGGACATCATGCTTGGAAAAGTAGAGCGTTGGTGAGAGGAAGACCCACATTCTTCATTTAAGTCCAGCTTCCTGAATTATTTGCTCAGTGTATAGACTGAATAAGTATACCAAAGGAAACAACTCTGATGCATACCCTTCTAGAAGAAAGTGAGAAGAGTTGAGTTTGGGTATGAGTGCCACAGCACCAGCACCAAAGATCCAGCTGAGCCATTAATAGTGCCATAACACCCCTGTCCAGGACTCCTTTCTGCCATGCCACCATGGGCCTCAGCTGAGGCGAGAGAAGACCATCCTGCACTGTGATATTCATATATGCCTTATAGTCTTTATGGTTTACTGTTAGAGGTACAATACCTATTTATCAGTTTATTGTATTAATTAATGCTAATTCATTAAATTGCTAATTAATTTTGTATCTTAGGTGGGTATGCTTGCTTGTTTATAGTTTGCTCCTATTAGTAGAGCAGTTGTCTGTCAGTTTGCTCTACTGGGGTAACTTGTGGATTGCTGTGATGCTGGAAGCTATGTCACCAGTGTTTCAAATGCCAGAAGAATCAACTATGGTGGACAAGTTTCAGCAGAATTCCTAGATTAAGATAGACCAGAAAGTAGGATTGGCAAATGCTTAGTTAGAAGGAATTATATTCAGGGGATAATTGCATTTAATTATTGTTAACAACTACAAATATGATATAATACTTACATGCTAGACACTATGCTAAGTGTTTTATCTGCATCCTTATCAATAAAGTTCAACAAGCTAAATACTGAGATGCACAGATAGTACAAGGGTCAGTACAAGATAGCAGAATGGTTGCAAGAACCTCCTGAACAAATGCCATTATGCTTTCCCCCCATTATATCTTGGTTTTTTTTACAGAGGCATTGCAAGAAGATACTTGTTAATTTAGAAAGCAAGTTCTAAAGGCAAAGAGCATGCTAAATCTCTCTCTCATACACACATACATGCATGAACCACACTAATCCTATGAACTATTTCCTTTCTTTCTGATGACTAGACCCATTGATAGACAGTAAATATGTACGATGAGTAAATGTATGTATATGCAGATCTTGAAACCTTCTGGTTACTATTTGCAGCCTGGAATTTGGCTTTCTGAAGAAGAGGTAGAAAGTGGAGGAAGTAGGAAGGCAGGGAGAGACTTCCATTAATTCTGATCATGGCAAATGATCACTTGAGTTATAGAAATATACTTCTTAGCAAATAGTCTAAAACATATGGCAATAACTGTGAAAAACATAATTTATTCTAATGTCTGACAAGGTCATGTGGCATAGTGTATAGTACATTGTGCTGCTAATCCAAAGGCCTCAGCTCTCAGGTGGTTTGAATCCACTACAGGTTCTGTAGGGGAGAGAAGAGCAGTCTCCTCCGGTGCAATTTACAGCCTCTGCAAACCTGAAGGATCAGTCGTGACCTGGTTCTGACTGGATGGCAATGTGTTTGAGTTTTTTGGGTTAGGCATTAGCCTGAGAAGTATGGATTGTGTTTGTCTTGAAAAATATACATTAATGAAGCACAATCAATAAGAGTGCATCTAAATTCCAAAATCAATCTCCATAATAGTCTATGTGTTTCCTACTGCCAAAGGGGCCCTTTAGAGTAGTGAGAGAAGATCTTCACCCTGAAACCCACAGCGTCCCTTTTCAGCAGGAAGTAGCTAAGAGAATACGCCATCCCCTTTTCCTTATGACTCAGGGTGAAGTGATAGGGAATGGCAAAGGACACACTGACAAAGAAGATAAATCAGAACTGGCTCTGACAAGCACTGTGGCATTTGGACAAGAACAAACTGGGAGGAGGGTAGAGAGAATAGTGCAACAATGAATGAATGGAAACCCAAAATCTCTGTAAATGTTTATGAAAATTAATAAAATATAGAAAAAAAAGAAAAATATACATTAATGAAATTTTGTTCGGTTTCTTCTATACACTGCAAAGGTTATTTTTGTCTGGTCAAAAATTGCAAAATTATACTTTCACCGTTGAAATAGACTCAATTCTCACTTAAGTTATAGGTGAAAATATATTAAAAGACCAAAACAGATTTAAATTAGAACTTTATAAAATTAAAATTTAAATTAGAACTTTATAAACAATAAAAATGTTTATTATATTAACTAATTCATAGACTACTTTTCACTTTGTGTTTCTCAGGTATGGAAGAAATAATGAGAAGGCAGAATATTAAGTGTTCATTTAACTACATATATACTTGACCATTAACATTTTGTTGTTGTTATGGGCTGTCGAGTCATTTGTGACTCATAGCGACCCTATGTACAACAGCCCTAAACCCTGCTCTATGCTGTGCCAATCTCATTGCCTTTGACACACCCATCCTGATTACCCCAGTCACTGAATCAATCCACCTCATAGAGGGTCTTCCCCTCCTGCGCTGTC